CGGGCCGTGCAGCAGTTACACGGAGCTGAGGCGGTTATTAGTATATCCCGATGCGCTTGTCCGATGCTAATCGCCAGCGGGATCGCAGGGGCAACAATCGCAATTTTCGATGAGTTGCAGAAGCCAAATCTTACATTATCAAGCAGGCTATGCCCTCAAGAGATATGGTCAGCGACCGTCTTGCTCCAGTGTCTATATGAACCCTCCGCCAGTACTTACCGAGGCTCTAACCCTGAGGTAGCCCGAAAGGACTCCCAGACCTGCACAAAACGGTTACTACGGAAGTATGATTTGTATTAAAGGAATCTGATACTTACAGATCTGACAAACCGCAAAGCTGTCATTTTACTCAGTGCGAAAAGTGCAATTGGAGATTTGAGGAATAGGGAATGGGTATGGCAATGGTCTATGAAGCGTTAAGTATCGGCTTTAACGTATGGAGGAAGCCAAACAGTGAGATCATCGCCGACTGCGCTTTGTGGCCGCTATGGTCACCGGACAATATCTGCTGCAACTTCTCCCATCAGTCACAGATTCGCGACTACCCAGTTACCTCACCCTTCATCGTTGAGGTTTCTTAGTGACAGCGCTTGATAATGCTGCAGAGATAACGAACTATTTTCGGTCCTGCAGGCAAGATGGCTGCGGCACCACCCCGTCCTTTCGATTACTTGGAGAGCCTGCCTGGGACTGTCTTTAACAAGCTCTACCAGCAGCCCTCCACTGCTCTCGCCATTTTCAGGCGCATGCTGCCTGACCTGGGTATGTGCCTGCCTCGTAATCGCACAGAGAGCCCCTTTTGGACTGATAGATCATAGCAAAATGTTTTGTGATGGCGCTACTCTACCTTAAGGACCCACTTCCAGCAGCGGATTTGGAGGCATGGGTCAAACCAGACAGCTTGAAGTGAGTATCACCACCTTCTCAAAGTGAACGTATCGGGAAGTGTAGTCGCTGACTCCTAAAAGAGAGCGAGATAATGCGCTTTCAATTTTGGGCAGGTTGCACATTATGACCAGCACTACAACGTCGGATAATATAAAAGCATACACCGTCACCGATCCGTTTGCATCCTCCCTTCGGCAGGCTCTCACCGGTGCCGAGCAAACTCAATCGTTTGGTGTTTTGTCACAGATATCTGACGAAGAAGCTGTCTCCATTGCGCATCTGGATGAGTATGCCAGACGGCAGTGGGAAGGAGTTCTGGGATACATGGTGGGGACAAGTGGACTCGGTATGCAACGCGACGTCAATTTGAGCAAAGGCGTGAAGGAGCTCTTGCAGGCCGGCCACCTTGTTGAGATCAGGGATCGTCGAGTCGAAATCACTCAGGACGGGTTCGCTTTCGTTCTACAGGACGTCGGCACTCAAGTATGGCATATCCTAGTTCTTTATGTTGAGAGCGCAGCGGCCATCGGTATGGACAGCGTCGAGGTTCTTTCCTTTGTGTTCTTCTTGAGCAGTTTGGAATTGGGGAAATCGTATGAGAAGAAGCAGTTGACATCCAACCAATTGCGCACTCTGACCGATTTGGCCGACTTTGGTATCGTCTTCCAAGAAACTCCGGATGCCACTCATTTCTACCCGACGCGCCTCGCAACCACCTTGACCTCCGACTCCAGTGCTCTGAGCAATCCTCTCGCTGGCTCCCTTTCCGGACCTACGGGCACAGCCTCGAGCAAGGCCGGTTCCGGATTCATCATCATCGAAACAAATTACCGACTCTACGCATATACCTCCTCACCGCTCCAGATCTCCCTCATTGCACTTTTCACCACGTTGAAATATCGCTTCCCGAATTTGATCACGGGTAAAATCACCCGCCAGTCCGTGCGTCGTGCAGTCGAGATGGGCATTACCGCCGATCAAATCATCTCTTACCTATCGACGCACGCACACCCACAAATGCGCAAGCACAATGCATCTAGGTCTACTTCTAATCAAGCCGGAATGCCGGTGTCCGTTCTACCGCCTACCGTCGTGGATCAGATTCGTCTTTGGCAGCTCGAGAGAGATCGCGTCAAAGCGACACATGGCTTTTTGTTCAGGGACTTCAACTCTCTGGCCGAATACGAGGCCCCGTGTCGATATGCCGAGGAAATCGGCGTTCTGGTCTGGAAATCCGATCGAAAGCGGATGTTCTTTGTTACTCGACATCACCAGGTTGCTGCTTTCTTGAAGAGCAGGAGGAAGTAACGCCATTGAAGATGGGGAACGGGCCTAGTCGATATTTCCCGCAGATTAAAATTGTTTCTGTGATGCAATCTTTGACAAGCATGGTACGGCGTTGGGACGCTTTGCTTTTAAATATGGCGGATATTATAAAGGGTCTGTGGCCTTTGAGGTTGTGGACTGGCTATTCAATTGGGATTATACTAAATTCTACACATCAGCCAGGCTGCTTGCAATGATTTTAGGAAACCTTGTAAATATCAAACACCAGTGTCATCCTAAGTACAGCAATTTGCAGTCAACACTTCCAACCAATAACTCCAATCGCCTATCCCACCAGATAGACATATGTCTAGTGCATCACGACGGCTTCATGTCCCAAACTCCCCAGTCCAACACGTTAATGTGGCCCCGATACCCATAATCCAATGAAACGCCACATGATGAATACGCACAAACGATCTTTCATCTGCAATAATCTTTCATAAATTAACCTCATCACAGCATCCAACGATCTCCATGAATAGCAATATACTCGTCTCTGAACTCTCTCAGACTAGCGGACGCCTCCTCCGTCACGCAAACATTCTCAAGAACCATGAAGGCGCGCTTGACACGATAGTTCGCAAGGTTCGCATCGGGTTGAGCCAAGGGCCGGGAGTAGCTCGACAGCATGCCAAATCCAGTGGCGATATCGGGCTCACTGAAAGAATCTTCGTAGTGGAACGCGTTGGTGAGGGTCATGAAACGGCCAAGCCAATATTGACGGGGTTGTGCTTCGGATACCTGGAAGCCGGCAGGAGTAGTCGTGGTTAGCGTTCTCTGCTTGTTGCGTGGGATCCTGCTGGTGTGACCATCATCACTGGGCAGTACCATTCTCTGAGTGCGATCTTTGTTTCTGGACGTTGGCACGTTTGCATTTGACTCGAACTGTTGGCTTGAGTTGGAAACACTCTGCTCTTGGTCGTCATTAGACGCTAGCTGAGAAATGACCTCTTCTTCAATCTGAAGAGCCTTCAGGTTGGCGAATCCTCTGCTCATCCGCAGTTTCTTGGGCTGCATATCGCTCGTGCTTCTCCGGATGCGATCCGTTATCTTGTATATGAAGGCGGGCTGGTTGTCGGACAACTGACGGTGACTGAAGGTCTGCTGTCTTGGTGGAAGAGGTTCGCTGAATCGTACTTTCTTGACATTCATGCCAGCAACATTGTTTGGAACAGGGATGGCGCTTCCTCTTGTGTTCTCGTTTATTCCTTTCTCCTCTGACGCCTTTCTTCCATCTTGAAAGGCAGGAGCGCATGGCTTTGCAGGAGATCTGAGCTTAGCAGGAACAGGTATAGAACTGCGCGGAGGGGCCAACCGAGCCAATGCAGCATTTGAAAATGAAGAGGAAGTAGTTCGTGTGATCGATGAGCGAAGCTTCGATGCTAAGTCCAGGGGAAGCTCAGAGTGCTGCTCGACCATCTCGACTTGCTTGAAATTCTGATCCAGACAATTTTGACAGACTGAAACAGTTTCAGCAACCGGCTGGACATATTCAGCAGGTTCCGCAAGCTCAATAGGAACAGCAGGCTGAATAGGTTGAGAAGGTTGGGTAACTTGCACTGCCTGGACAGGTCTACCGATTCGGTAAACTCGAACAGGTTCGGTAGGTCGAACATATCGAACAGTTTGAGCTAATTTGACAAGCCGAGGAGGAGTAGGGATATCAATCTCTTCATCTTCGGTTTCCTTCTTTCCAACATTTGAGATGGACTTGTTTTCATCCTTGCCCGCGTTCTGTCTGAGATTGGTGTAACGCCTGCTCAGTGATGAGAGGACCCTCCGTTTTCCTTCTTTGTTAAACGCTTCGTGAGAGTAGATACCGTTGACTGGAGGCTCATTAGGGACCGGAATCTTCGAATCCTTGTGTTCGGACGATGAGGTCAAAGTTGAGCCTGTGAAACTGGTGGATCTTGAGGACGTCTGACTGCTTTGCGGAGAGGAAAACGGACTAGCTTTTGCTGTCAAACGGCGGATCGATATCTTGAACTTTTTGTAAGAGTTCCCATTGCTGGCTGTTGTTTTGCTCGAATCCCCAGAGTCAAATGAGCAGGACTTGATAGGTAGAGGCATTGAGAGTTGACGCTGAGAATCCCATGCTTCGCGTGTCTGAGACTTGCGACTCTTTCCTCTAAGCGAGGTCAGGACTGAGCTTTCTTGCTTGACAGGAATGAATGATCCGAATGAGAAGACGGGTTCAGCTCTGCCATTGTCCTTTGAACCGCTGGCTCTCTCGCTGCCCAGTGGCTGATAAGTGTGCTTTTCACCGTGAGTCTTTCTTCGAAGGACTTGAAGGGATCCCCACAGAGAAGCCCTATGGCTACGCTTCTCTGCCATGATCGGATTTGATGCAGGATGCAGTCAAGACCAGAAGAATGAGGATAGATAAAATGTGTTTAGAAGAATATTTGGATAGGGTAGATAATACGTTTTGAAGATAGTAATCTGCTGTTTAGAGAGGTGTAGATGGTAAGAATCAGATAAAAAGAAAGGACAGACTGAACAGTAGTAATTATCTTTATTTACCTTGAGGATGACAGTATATGGCTACAGGAGATATCCGTTTTGAGAGAGCAGATGCAGTGAATTGCCTCAAGTCTACCTGGTACAAATGTGATAGTAGTATGCCCTTCACGTCGGCTCAATTTCATTCACCAGCCCTCACAAACCGAAGCATCACGCAATATACTCGAAGAACTCGTTGTAGCTCAAACCAACCATGCAGTTGTCATCTCGTCATATTGCAGCCCAGGAGTGAACAGGTTCACGTCTAATCAGTTTTTGACTCATTTCGGAGGAAGTAGGATGCTTCCCTCGGATATCTTGACAGCGCCTCCCTGAAGCTCAACAGTGTCGATCTTCCTATCCTGGTTGACCACGACCTCTACCCCAATCTCACTGCGTCTACCGATCTCCACTCCTTGCACAATGTTATACTTATACTGACCAGGTTTTCCGTCCATCAAAGACAGATAAGCGGCCAGACCGCTGGCCGCACTTCCTGTTGCTGGATCTTCTAGGTTTCCGAGAATCGCCCTGGTCCGAATGGTATTTGCACCAGTCTGCGGGTCCTTGACATTGCGGACGTAGAAGTACACCACACAGAGACCTGCATCCCAACCTTCATCCAGATAGCCAGAGCCCGCAGAGATAACCTCACCTCCCGTGGCCGTAGTGACGGCAGCGAGTGCCTCGAGGGAGGGTAGCTCGACATGGACCTGGCTCATCCCATTGACGATAGAGAAGATGGGGAAAGCTGGTTCCACGGTACCGGTTGTACCGAAAAAGCCAGACAAGGAAGGGTGCAATCGGATCAGTTGCTGGAGCGGAAATCTGGACTGGTGCAGCCGCGTATTATGTGCGATTCTAGCGGTTACTGCAGGCGATGGCTGTCCCGATTGCAGCGAGATGGGGATATCCCCTGACTTGGTGGTCAGAGTTTTGACGGCTTCCTTGTCGCCCTCATCCTGAGAAAGATATAGAAACCAGGAGGCAGCTCCTATGGTAGGATGGCCTGCGAATGGAAGTTCGCTGTCGGTGGTGAAGATGTCGATAGTGCGTCTCTCCCCCTTGTCGGCATGGACAAAGATAGTCTCTGACAAGTTGAACTCGCGCGCGATTGATTGCTTCTGCTGTTGTGTCAGAGCCGGCTTGTTTGAGTCTGGAAGGAAGACGACGGCGAGCGGATTGCCAGCATACGGCTGTGACGTGAAGACGTCCAAAGTGACGAATCGGACTTGTTCAGTCATGATAGAGTGGCAATTGGTTTGTTTGAGGTTAGATAAAAGTCCAAGCTGCTGGAGGAGTCTTGATTTGCGTCTTTGATGATACAAACAGAGTAGGAGAAGCGCAGTGGGATTTAAGGACTCTTACCCGCTTCGTCTATGGATCTGTGACTCATCACGACAACGCTCGTGTTGCGGTCTTGTCATGCTACTCGTTGCTATCGGAAGATGATGCCATTGGCCAAATGTCGATCATTTGATTTGAAGCTGCTTATTTTGTTCATGGCGGAGCTCTGATTTGTTGTCATAATATTTTACTCATTGCAGAATACCTTAGGGCTTGGATGTGCCGCTCTTCGAGCTACGGGCGGACACAGTGGGAGATGGGATATGGTGCTTTGTGGATTGCTGCTGACTGCCGGAAAACCTCCATTTTAGTAGTGGTGATATGCGAACCTCGAGCCTGTTCGCTGTGGATGCAGAGCATCTACAAATTGATGCTTTCATGATTCGGTATATACGCGAAAATATACATTTATTCCCATGCCCATCAAGACCCAACCCGAACACCGCATGCAATGATCATTACAACATGATAGGTATACATCTCACTCTGAATCGCTTTCGATGACAAACCCAGCCCGCATTCTTCGCCGAGGCGGTGCAGCGACAGGTGCCGCTTCATCATCATCTTCATCTCCAGTATCGGGTGCAGGGGGCTCGGTCTCCCTATCGTCGTTCTCCGCACTCGGGACTTGGTCTCTATTACGATTTCGGCTGAAAGCTAAATCATCATCGAAATCGAGTTCATCTTCTTCGGAGGTAACAGGTGTGTCTTCGACATCGTTAGCACCTTGGAGAGAAGGTGAGCCTAATCCTGTAGAGTCTGGCGACGGAGCCTCCGTACCGGTCATGACAAGATCGTCATTGTCATCGAGCCCTTCAGTCCGTTGCTGGCGTCGGCGCCGCTTGCTTTGAGTATCTGCGGTCGAGGCAATGTGCTGGTCGCTCGTCCGCTTGCGCCCATTGCCTTTCTTCCGCGGTTTGTCACTAACCTCTTCAACAACCCCGTGGAGCAGAGCCTTCCTGATTCTTTCTGCCTGCTCCTTTCGTCTCTGCTCCTCAAGTCGAAAGAATTCCTGGTCTGCTTCTTCATCCGTTTCCTCATCACTGGCGTGAATATACAGATCACTCTTGATCTTCGCTTGTCGAGCTAAAGCATTTTCCAGGCGTGCTCGACGTCGTTCCTCCAAGTCTTGTTCGTCGGGTTCTTCTTCTTCTTCTTCTTCTTCTCCCCCGGCTTCCTTGCGTCTCTTTTTGCGCTGTTTCTTCAATTGCTCGAGAGCGTTAGCCCTTGATCGTGGGTTGGGTGGGAATAGCGGCCCATCTGGGACGTTGTCATCACCCTCAGAATCGGAGCCAAAATCTACGTCGGCGGTTTGCTCATCTCTGCCTTGTCTTGTATTGTTTCCTAATTTTCGCCTTATCAACTGGCTCAAGTCCCGGCCAGAGTTCTCTGTGACAGGCTCAGTCAAGCACTGTTCAATGATGGATCTCGTGTGCCGAAGATCTTGAGACGCGAGTGATGAAGGAACAATCCAGGAAGCTCCTGGAACATCCTCCATGCCTAGACGTTCGAAGCGAACCAGAGTCATGAGGAGACGTAGTTTGGCGTTGGAGAACATGGCCTTCCGGCATGACTCGTTGCTGGGTTTGACAGCTGTTCCATGTTAGTGACGTACGACCAGCCAGAAGTAATCAAAAGACGTACGAATCATTGGGTTGGGAGCTTTCTGTCCTTCCGATTGCTGTTCCTGACTTTCCCAGGACTCTCTCTCATCGGCTGCCGAATTTAAAGCATCACTGACCCATTTGACCAGGTCAGTGTGCTCATCCTTGACCATGACTTGAACAACAATCTTTATTTTCTCATCGGTTGTCTTGGCTTCTCTCGGGTCAACTTCAAGCTCAGCCGGAGGTCTTTTAGAGGCGGATATTGTCTGTTTCTCATGCCCAAACTCCAGGTAGAAAACAGTCGAGTTGATCTTACTGAACAAGAGCTCTGTGATCAAAGCCGGGCGTTGATCAATTTTCTTGATCATGCGCCGAATAATTTGCCGGACCAGTTCCTCCCATTCCTTGAAGATCGGTTTGTTCGAGTCCAAGGCACCCGGACCTTTGATCATGCGATAGAAGAGGTTGATGACATCAAGGCGAAACAGCAGAACGCTCATCTCTTGCTTGAAAGCTATCCTGTAAAAGTAGCGGTGAGCTCGTTTCAATTGGTCCACGTTCAGCTCTTTGTAGTACTTCGTAAATGCAATAAAAGTGTCAACACAGTTCTGGTTGCAGAACTTGGCGGCGAAACGCTTGAAATCGAATTTGCGCTCCTTCGAAATTCTTTCGGCGTCCATCAAGTCTTCATCTTCGGATGCGTGCTCCTCGTCATCGCCTTCGATATCGGCCTTTTTGGCCTGTTTGGCTTTGCGCTTTGCGCGGCGACGGGATCGGATTTGCAAATCTACGTTCTGTTTGGAGTAATGCTCCAACATCTTTAAGAAAACATGAGCAAGCTCTGTGCATGCATCCAGGTAGCCAAATCCTTGGTCTTTGTACCCGCGAATGATGGCGATGATGCGGTCATGCGTAATCTCTTCATAGAAAATTCGATTCTGTATGTTGTCGGCAATCTCTTGATCTTCTTCAAGCGGTGACTGAGCCATCTCTTGTACAGTCAACAGAATCTGCGTGAAACAGCGCATTTCTGCAGTGAGGTCTTCGACGTCTTTGTTGTCATAGCTGTACTGCATTGAGCGGTTCAAAAAGACAAATGTTTCCTGGTTGAGGACACTGGCAACAAGTGCAAAGCTATCGGGTTCCAATTCCTTCAACGATTTGTCAACCAGATGTCGTTTTTCGCGTTGATGTGCTCGCCGCACGCGCTCGGCTTCAAGAAACCAGGCAACGGTATAAAAGAATTGTCGTGTATTTATATCCATGACTCGATCAGCTTCACGTTCAATGGCTTTTCGAACGTGAGTGAAGAGCGGATTGAAGCCAGAATCCAAGAACTCTTCGACGAACATTCGTAGGTTCTTTGTCGCGGTCGAGTTGAGATTGACGGGCGTGTTAAAGTCATTGTTTGCCGTCACCTCGGTTTGTTTTCGACGTATCTGAGGCTTGTTCCACTTTTTGCTCTGATCCATCTTGTGAAGTGTTGTCTGGCTATCTTTGAGCACATCTTGTCCTGACACCGTGGAGACCTTGGCGTCATCGCGTTTCACCCAAATCATTGTCCCAAACCTGCCATGCCGAGTTGGTGCGTTCTTTGCGTATTCCCGCCGCAGAGACGATTCCTTCTGCAAAAGTTCACCTAGCTCGTCTGTGCGCTTTGCCTTTCGTTCGGCGTCGTTCATAAAGAGTTTCTCCACGTTGACTCCCTTAACAATGTGGAATAATATCTCGAGGAGGACCACATCTTGAAGGCTGAAATCATCTCCTACATTGGAGCACATGGTCAGAAGAAGAGCGAAAGCATCTTGATTCTGGAAAGCATTAATGGTAGCCGATCTTGACGTTTCCTCTTCATCCCCCTCCGCCGCCAGTCGAGTATTCGGCGAAATCACCGCCATATTTCGAAGAAAGTAGAGCATGAGCTTCAAGATGCCTTCATCCCGAGCCGTTCGTTCGGATCGAGGGACTGCCATGCTGGGGAGGCCGATTCGGATGATTGTTCGAAGGATGCTGTCGCTACCATGACTGAGAATACCACGTTTATAAAGAACCTGGGCTTGTTGCAAATACGGTGTGTGTCGATGATGGTTGACTGTCATTTCACTGTGTACCTCCAATGGCCATGTCAGAGGCACCAACAATTCCACTGTTCTTTGTCAGATCCACGGATCATCGAGCTCCTTCCGTACCCATTCAGCTCACTTACGGCACGCCAATGCAATCCTCGACATGTGTTTGCTCTTTTGACCAGTAGTCGACCAGACGGTCAAGATCGGCAACAGGTCGCCGTTGACGAGATTTGCTTCCCCCAGACATCGTGCAACATCCATGCGATTGTTTTTTTCATCGTACAATTTCAACCATCGCTTGATGTCTCGTAGACAGGCCAGTGCATCGTCACCCAAGACGTAGCGGTCCGCGTTCTCGCCATTGAAACCTCCGAGCTGCAGATATTAGCACAACTTCTTACTTGTGAAGGAGGGTATCGACTCTACTTACTGCAGTAACGAGGCTATAAACATGAGCGCGGACATCAGGATCTACGACCTGGACACTCTCGCTCAATGGCGCACCTTCTTCATCCATGGTCGTCGGTTCAATTCCGATCGTCCACCGACGCTGTTGTCTGGCAGGCCGATAGCATCACCATAAACATTGATAGCGATGAAAAGCCAACCTTTAATTCGCGCCCATTACAGCAGCCAATTATAACGCGTTTTGTCACGCGTCTCGCGTTTATTAGAATGACCGGCCTCGGTTTATCGGAGAAGATATTTACCCGACGGCCGAAGATAGCCGATGACGTCGGATCACATGAGTCGGGTGTATATGGGGAAGACAAGCCAATGTCTCATAGATCTTCGGCTGTTTTCGTTTCTACTTTTCTTTCGTTGTCTGCGTTCAATTTCTGTCCTGGTTCTCTTAGGAGGCAATTACCATCGTCTTCCGCCATGTTCTCAGCTTCTGTCCGGGGTGTGGCCCGCGTAGGCTCGTCAATTACCTCTCGTTCCTTCAGCACGTCCACCGCCGCCTATGCTGCCGAGGTTAAGTCCCTGGGTGTGATTGGGGCTGGTCAAATGGTGAGCATGCTTTTATACTGTAACTTTTTGTCAGGTCAGATTCTAAGTGGTCTGCAGGGTCTGGGTATTGCTCTTGTTGCTGCTTCAAAGGCCCAGGTTCCTGTTACCCTGATCGACAGTTCCCAGGCGTCTTTGGATAAGGGTCTCACATTTGCCGGTATGCTCGATACCGTCCAATTGTCCACTACGCTCCTGTAGTTTTCAGGGATATCCCAATTAACAATCAACCTGTTCCGCCTCAGACAAGCTCCTCCAGAAGGATGTTTCCAAAGAGCGCCTTACTCGGGAGGCTGCGGACGCCGTTCGTGCGCGCATCACTCCCAGTCTGAACATGGACGACCTTTCGTCGGTCGACTTTGTGATCGAGGCCGTCCCCGAAATCCCCGACCTCAAGACGTCAATCTTCTCCAAGCTCGCTCAGATTGCACCCAAGCATGCCATCCTCGCAACCAACACCTCGTCTATCCCGATCACTAAGATCGCTGCTGCCACCACAGCAGATCCGACAGATCTCCAGGCTCCTTCCCGTGTGATCTCCACTCATTTCATGAACCCCGTACCTGTTCAAAAGGGTGTGGAGATCATTGCTGGCCTGCAGACCTCCAAGGAGACCATGGACACCGCCATTGCCTTTGTGCAGCGTATGGGCAAGGTTGCGGCCGTTTCGGCTGATTCGCCTGGTTTCCTCGCTAACCGTATCCTCATGCCATACATCAATGAGGCTATCATCTGCCTGGAGACTGGGGTTGGTGCCCGCGATGATATTGACAGCATCATGAAGAATGGGACAAATGTTCCCATGGGACCTTTGACCCTGGCTGACTTTATTGGTCTTGATACCTGCCTGGCTATTATGAATGTCTTGCATCAGGAAACTGGAGACAGCAAGTATAGACCGTCTGGACTGCTCAAGAGGATGGTTGATGCTGGTTGGCTGGGTAAGAAGAGCGGAAAGGGCTTTTACGACTACTAACCTGGTGACTCGCTGTGACGTTTGAAGTACATATAACGTGATATCCCTTGCTGTATGCTACCACTTGGCTATATATACCATATCTACCGAAGGACGGAATATCCAGCATTGAAATGTCAAAAGTTGGAACAGTTATTTGCATTGCTTCATTATAAATGATCGACGAGAGTCATCGTCAGGATGGGATCTAGCAAATAATGGTTCATAGTACAAGAAAGCATATCGCTTCAAAATCAACACATTAGCCAGTTTCGTCGATGCATGTTTGTGCACTTCGTAATCGACACCTATTCTTCCACTTCTCTCTCGGCGAATCTCATGGCAGCCACGATAGCAGCAAGCTCGTCTGCGTCATGTACTCCCAATCCGTCTCTAAGAGGCGAGCCGTTTTGGCATTCTGCGGTTACGTTCCCTAGCGCATTGTGATGGCAGATAAGCCATGGTCCGCCACATGTATAGCTTGGCTGCGTCAGTATCTCATATGGCCAACAATGAGGTGAGGGATAGGACTGACCAAAGATCTGCCCCACACCTACAAGTTATACGTTGGCAGCCCTCATGAAGCTCTACCATTGCCCCACAGTAAAAACATCTCTGCCAACCTTGAGTTCTGGCGAGTTCGAGAAATTCAGTCAATCCAGGGTCGAAGGAACATTTGCCAGGTGCATGAGCCTTGTCCCGACAGCCTGGACAGATGGCAATGCCACAATATGGGCAGAGCTGTGTTGTTGATTGACGTTTCAACTTCTCCAGCGGTATCCATTTCCCGCATCTCATCGCGGGACAATACCGACGTTCTCTGGCCGGTGTCGCATACTCCCGCGTTTTCAGCTTAAAAAGGGCTTTCTCCTTCTCTGTCAGTTTCGAGAGGACTTGATTGGACGGAATCACCTGCGAGCAGCACTTCGGCGGAAACAACTGCTCATTTGCCATGGCTGTGAGTGCCAATCGGCTGAAACAATAATCGCAATATTTGTGCCGGCAAGGGAGAATCTCCAAATTCTTAACAGATTTGCTGTTAAAGCAGACCGTGCAACGTCTTGTTTGCAGTTAGTACATAAGCTACGCGATAGAGCTACTCAAGCTGAGGAATGGAACTTACTCCTTTTTTCGTGCTAATCTTTGGCAAAGGCGCGCCAGATTGTTAATGACACCAAATTTTGCGAGGACACAAAGGCTCTTAAGCCCAGCAATATGGGCTTGCAAGTGCGAATCAGATTTTCCCCACGCTGGACGAACATGGATATTGCAACTGGTCGTTGCACGATGAGCGCCTGCGAATTCTGATTTCTTGTCCGAAGCAGCTCCTAATGGAGCTATCATTTTAGCATCACTAGCAAACAGTCGCTCCTCTTCAGCTCGGCTCTGTATGAGGCCGGTAATCAAAGATGATAGAGTGATAGAAGGCATGATTAGCTCGGTTGATTTATGATCATATCCGTTATCTTGGAGACGATCAAAGCTGGCGATCGCGATATGCGCCCTCGAACTGCTTCGGCTGATCGTAAAGGTGGCGTGGCAACTTGCCAAGAACAGTGGTTGTCGAGCCACTGGTCTTATAGCATACAGTATGACGATGAAGTCTGTAGCATGGTTCTGATAGATATGTGCCCTTCATCATTTCGTCAGTCAGGGCCGAAAAGGGCCAGAATAATGTGGTATGACCCCTTTCCATGGCACCTCCAACCGAGGGTATATCGCAGGTGCCTGAGCGAAGCCACGGTTTCAGTGTCTCTCAACCTGCCACATGCGCGCGGCTCGTTTTCTGGGGGATCATCATTTGACATGGAGGTTTTTCACCCAGTGAGTACTTGTTCCGGCGCCTGGGAGTAAATTCTGGCGACACAATGACTGAAACATGGGGAAAGAGAGTATGAAGTGAACCACGGATACCAACATCTCCAGTGTCGGATGTAAGAATCACTGATGTGTAAAACTTAATGCAGCAAGTGCGGTGCACAACAATACTACTATTATCGCCGCTTGCTGATCACTGGTACGATAGCGAGATGATCTCGACGCATGATAGGAGCCAGCCTGCTGATTCTGCGAACAATCAGCGCCATCAACGGGGAACAAAAGCAAAAGCAGTACGGACCTGCTCACAGACAAAATCTCTAGCTACGACACGTGCACATTTCCGTTTAGTCTTCAAAGTCTCAGACTCATAAAGTTTATTGCTAAGATCAAGGGTATCATTGAAATGCAGCATTTGAAGAACACCCCAACAACGATCATGCAGAATACACAATAGAAACCCACTATACTCCGGTACCGATTCAGAGGGAAGCCCGCAAGTAGCAAAGCTATGCTCAGAGAATGCCAGAAAATTTCCGTCCGGCCCATGAAGAGCCATACTCCTGATATTCCTGACGGGTGATGGCGAGTTTCCCCAACTCGTCTCTGTTCGTCGCTAATCGTGACGCTCCAAGCCATGTGGAGCGTATGGGGCTAAGGTCAAGCTGAATGAGAACGTGTTTTCGAGGGAAACTGTCAAGGTGAACTTACTCATGAGGGCGCCGAACTCTGACAACGCATTCTGCCGAAGCTATCTGTCGCAGCTCGCTTTCCCTAAGAACGTGTTAGAACCGAAAATGATGATCATCGTAACACGGCGGCCTTACAATCGTTCCAAAAAGCCTGGGATCAAGGCATTTCCTCCAACTACCAGAACATTCGCTAGGAACGACGGATGTAGTCCGGTAGGCAGAACTGAAAGACTCTGGAGAATGATGTCTGGAATACCGGCTTGCTTCATACCAATGTCACTTGGGGTGAACAGTATTTCTGGTACAGTAAAGCGTTCGTTTCCCAGGATCAGCACGTCCTCGGACAGCGCCTCAGCATTGCCGCCAGAAAGAATACTCTTCCTCTTCTTCGCATTCGAAAGAGGATCATGGGGTCGCATGAAGCCCTTCTTCCCTGTGTTAGGGTCCGGTAGTACATAATCAACTGTGATCCCTTCGGCTGCGTCTGTCAAGCCACGTTTCCGGTTGCCCTGCCATGTCTGTTCCAAGTCACCAGCAAAGTCGTTGCTTACGAAACAGACAGCCTCCTTAACCTCGTTCATGATGTAAGTTTCATCGACCATGTTGTACTGCCTCATGGACACCATCTCTTTTAGGTAATTTGTTAGATGTTTGCCACCAATGTCGAGTCTCCGAATGGCGCGCTGGATGGGTTGCCCTTTGTAAACGGGTGTTACTGTTGTATGAGAGTAGCCGGAGTCGACGACGAGTAAGCATTCCTTCGGTGAGATCGGAGACGAAGGGTCTTGTCCAATAGGGTCTCCGAACAAGGGCTGAACTTCATTCCAAGCATTCAGCATCGGTCCTGGGAAAACAGCATCAATAACCAGATGTAAGAGAGCAGGGGAAGAAATCCGGCCCGCTCACCTACACATCTCACATAGCCTCCAAAGCCCCATTCTTCCATCACAATCTCATCAGCATTCTTTTGTAGGGTCGGCAAAGCGTTCGGTGCCTCGGTGAGCACGAGCGTTGTATCTTCTGGAGATTCAATCCGAAGATCTTTCGACCGCACCGTCTTCTCATCGAAAAATGCGGTTTCCCATATTTCCTTCTGTGCTTCCCAGTTGACAATGTACCCTTTCTCCACCGGACGCCTAAACACCATCTCGTTCCAGTCGGTAACTTGCGAGCTGAGCTGTGCCCCAATGTAGATACGATTTCCGCGTGTCTTGGCAATAGCATTCGGAATTGTGCTGCAGGCTGAGAGAGCCTGGTTTATATCTTCGGGAGGTGGAAACTCGGGAGCATACCCAGCTTTCATAGTATATGCGCCATTGTCGATAACGAATGTCTTCTCCGGTAACGACTGGACTTTTGGAGCGGAGTCTCGTGCGGAGGTGCGAGGTTTAGTAGCGCCCATCCTGTCAATGAAACATACGGATAATATGTTTTTCAACTTATTGGGTCCGGTTGTTCGATATCATCTGAAAAGGTCTTCTCGATGGACTGATGCTGTGATATAAAAAGAGTCGCGTAGGTGATTGGTAACACAAAATATCGGAGCTAGGCCGAAGGAGTTTGTCCGATCCAGACGTCACAATTGAGGAAATGTTTAGGACGCTTCAATGATCAGGACATGTGCCAAGGCCCGCGCCAACTGGACAACTTTGATCGCAGGTGACCCCGCAGAGCCCTAATCAGTAGTTGCCCCGCAATCTCCTACAAATTTCTCCTCCATCCAACGATTACCTGCAATAACAAAGCCAAGATCGGTATTCGGATCATCAAACTCCCTCAGAATGGCAAAACAGCTTCGGATCAGTCTAACGACGACTCTCACTCTCCTGGAGCAACTCCAAGCAGCTCTTTCAGCTCCCGCCGGAGATACCAAACCCGCCGAACTTTCGGGAAAGGATGCTCTTCCCCTCCTTTCCACGTCAGCTACCGCATTGAAGTCCCAGATCACAAAGCTATCCCTTTTGACGATAACTTCTCCATTCACTCACTCGGCGGTCGGCACCGTTCTCTCGGCATTGAATGGATCCGTGCTCCCGTCTCTCGTAACGGCGGCTCTCCTTGTCACTCCCACGGATCATACAAAGGCTTTCCACGCGGAGGTACACGCCTTGACGAAGACGGCATTGAGGGAATTGACTTCTCTGGTAACCGAGGTTCAAGCTGTCGCCGAAAAGACAGACAAGGCAAAGGATGGTCAAAAGAAAGGAGGTGAACTTTCGCAGGCGGAGAAGGATACTGTGACGGTCGCAACCGGGCGTGTCTGGGATTCGTGCGACACGTTGATTGATGTCGCGGCCAAAGGGGTGGTTGGGTTCGTGATACAGCGCGTCGAAGAGTGGCGGGATCTGGTGCGTGATGCAGTGGAGGAGATTGAGGAGTGGGATCCCGAAGAGGATGGGGACGAATTCTTCGATGATCTCTTGAGCGATGATGGTGAGAAAGATATTCAAGATGAAGACGAGGAGGATACCGAGGAAAGCAGCGCTGCGCTACATGCACAGAAGAAATCGACCCTCCGGATTCTAAAGCCTATTGCTCAGATATACCCTGCCATTGTCGCGAATCGGCTGAAGGGCGCTGGCGATGTGCCGTGCTCATCTCCTTCTGGGATTGGCAGGTTAGAGCGCTTGATGACGAATTTACAGCACATCCCGGAGCATGTAGATGAAGTCGCTGGAGCCCTGTACGAGGAGGATTTGGATAAATGTGCTCGTTATCTCGGCAAGGTTAAACGCTGCGCCATGAACGCTGTCGACTCTGTTAAGCCGACTTGGGATATGGTGGATGCTGCCGACGGTCAGCAGAAGGAAGATAAGTTCACAATATGGTCGAAAACGTGGACGAATGTTTTGGATGAAGTCAGCAAATCTGTGGGGTCGGACAATCCAGAATAAATGAATACGTGAAACGAGAAAGCGACCATCCATGGGTTACATTTACAGTTGAAAGAAGTGGCACAATTCGAGAAGACCTTTCGCAACTCAAACCACTTATAGCCAGTTGAAAATTCTTCGAATTTATTACAGTAGAGTAAGGGTGAAAATGGCGTATATACATGGTAGGAAAAAGGATCACCAAGATGGGTAAGGAAGCTATACACTGTACAATCAGGACAGTCCGTCGAAAGACCAAGATTCAGTGCGGAGATTTGCTAGATGATTTGCAACTTCGGAGACTTGATTTCCTCACCTCTGGACTTATTCCTGCACAATAGACTCCTCGTCAGGTTCCCATTCCGCAAGGTCTTCGCTTCGAATACGATCCTTCAGCCAGTCAAGGATCGCATCAGTCCCTTTTGCCACGACTTGCCATCGGGGAACCCGAAAGCTGTTACCTGCTACTTCGAACCTTCTCAGAGGGGATCCGGTGCCCCAATTCTTGCTACAACCCTCGGCCCTCAGCAAGCCAAGTTTTGGCGGAAGAGAGCTGATGTTGTTGTTACCAACGTCCAGCACCTGGAGGCCCTGCACAGCATCGAACTCCAAAGATTGAAATCCATTGTCCGCTGCGAGAAAAGCCATCAACTTCGGATAAACCTGACGCACAGCAGGAAGAGGCCCCGAAAGGCGGTTGTACGAAACATCCAGGCTTGTCAAAGATGGAGCCGAAAGATTGGCTAATATCGGTTCAAGGTTCGTCAATCTAGCGGCGCTTAAATTGAGGATTTGGAGGTTCGGGAGTGTTAGAGATGTAGAGAGAACGGATGAGCTGTCCAGGGGGTTATTCGAGAGGTCAAGATCTGTCAGGCAGTGTGCTAGCATACTGAGAGCTGGCACAGGTATGCAGGTCAACGAGTTATGTTGCAGGTACAGGCAGCGTATATCATTGAAGTTGATCCGCTCCAGCTGCTTCACGTCCACCTCTGACGTTTCTGAATACGATCTATCAAGGACTCCCCCCGGTTTGACCTGCCACGACGTCATCTGAGCCGGTGTTTCTGGTGCAAGGGTGAATTGCGTGGCCACCGAGCCTTCGTCATCATCGGTATCCTGAGGCTCTGGCTCACACCTGTTTCGCAGATCACGCTTAATATCATCTGTATTCATAGTCAAGAATTTTCGTTCTCGCAGTGGATTGTTGGCTAAGCGAAGGGTGGAAAGGCTCTCCATCAATCCGATTCTTTCATCCAATTTGGATATATTGTTTCCTGTGAAATCAACATTGCGAAGGTTTTGCAGCTCGACAAAACCCTGCGGGATTGCTGAAAGACTATTGTCTTCGGCCGAGAGAGTCAAAAGTGCGCCCCAAGTGCAAATATTCGGCAAATGCTCAATGCGATTTATACTGATGGACAAGGTTTGAAGGCTAGGCATCTCGAGGTCTTCGCGTTCTGATATCGCTGTCAGCGCGTTGCCGGTCACATCCAAGCTCTGTAGCGAGTCAAGCTTCGATAGAAAGGCTGGGATCAGCGTCCCGGCCAACTTGTTCCTAGGGGCTCTGAGATCTTTAAGAGGAAGCATGCCAAGAGACTCGAAAGGGAGAGAGGTCAGTTGATTATCACCAACATCTAGAATCCTAAGGCAAGCCAAATATTCCAGGCTTTTGGGCAGTTCGGTTAGAGAATTGCCGCGCAAGTCCAGGACCTCCAATCTGGTAAGGTTCTTCACGTCTGAGGAGAATGAACCCTCCAAGAGATTGTTTGCCAGCTTCAAATCTTTTAGAGCCTCCATTTGCATGACGATCTGAATGCTTTTCGCGTCCAATCTGTTATTGGACAGGTTTAGAGTGTGAAGTCTTTGCAATCTTCTGAAACCTATTGGAAGGGTGCGCAGCTGGTTGCCATGAAGATCCATAATTTCCAGTCCACCAAACTGATTGCCTCGTTCGTCTGTGTCTGAGTCGATATCGAAGGGATCGGCGTCGGGGAAAGCTGCCTCTGATAACTCGACAAATTCATTGTCTGCGGCAATGAACTTGACAAGATCGACGCTCTCATACCAATCTGTGGTCGAGTTAGGATCGAAGTCATACATAGTCATGACCTCTTTCGGTATCTCTGTCAATGACATGGCCGCAATGTTCAAATGACCAGAGATCCGCCCTGCTTCCACACGCTTGCGGAGTAACCCATTATTTGAGTCTTTGGGCTTTTGATTGAAGGGATCTCCAACATTGATGTTATCATAGACATCAACGGAGCCGTTTTGGGGATTGTTCTGCCTTGCAGATGCTTTGCGCGCGGCTTTCGCCTTAGCAATGCTCTCCCTTAATGCGCTGGATGACTTGGAAGCCTTTCTCGTTTCCATTTCCGACTGTTGCTCTATTGAGAGGTCTGGCGCATTCAGCTGGATTGATGGCTTTCTCGAATTATTTATAGGGCTGGAATTGTTCGCTAAAGATTTCCTTGTCTTTTTCACGTGGAGTGGAGGAGGCGGAGGTCCCATGTCTGAAAACGTCGCGTTTGCGGACGTCTTGCCCAGAGCTGGGCGAGGATTTGGCGATTTGCTTGTCGTATGCTTAACCTCGTTATATAGACTTGCTCTTATAGATGGCTTCTTCAAGTTCGAGGGGATGTCGGTACCAGCCAACGAGGTTCTCTGGCCGGCAGAAGCGTCATTTGAAGACAAGCTTGGAGCGGGTAATATTCGAGACCTCGAGGGAAGTTGTATTGCAGAGGATTGTTGTGAAAGGAAATCATTATCACTAGGTCGCCGCGTAGTCGATGCCCTCGAGGGTGATCTTGAGGTCATTGCAGATGGTGTCCGAGACGGGGACCGTACCGGGCTGTTGCCATTGAAGAAACTAGATTGCCTGCTCGAGGGGCCAGGTGATGGAGGAATTCGAGATAATGTCTCGATAGTCCGTTCCGATAATGAAGGTCGAGGGCGACCTCGGCGCTCTGCATCTCCCACAGCGGCATCTGTTCCCAGCATGGGGGCTTCATCCAGGGAGCCTCCCGTGTTTTCCGACAGTCCACCATCGCTCAGTCCACTGTTGGAAATGTCACTTTTTTGTCGAGGTTTCTCGGGTGTCTTGTACAACAATGGGTACTTTGGAGGAGGCTTCTTGACAACGGGCTGCTCAGACGGTCTTCGGAGCCTTGTAGCATCAAGACCGGGGTCTGCGCGCAACTTTTCACGGGAAGGGGAAGGTTTGATGGATCTGGAAGCGCTGGATGTTGGTAAAGGCAGTCTGGAGGCAGCCAGCCGAGGAATTGCACTCGGTCTAGTCGGTGTTTTCTGTTGCTGGTCCATTTTGCGACCACTCGGTTGCTGTTGCGGTCAATGCGGACAGAAGTTTGAGGGGCATGCGATTGTTGATATGCCTTAGCGTCACTGATGATATCAGTAGGGAGGTCGCATGCTCGACGAGGGAAATGTAGTAATCCAGAATTGGAAGACAAGAGTCAGAGCAAATTCAAGTTAACAAAGATGTCGAAATAATTGACTTTGGTCAGCCTTGTTCGCTGTCTAAAAGTCAGTCTTGTTCATATGTCTCTGTTGGCAACATCGATGTTTATTTGTTTTACTTTATTGTACTATCACCTGCTGCCTGAGAATAGTGCCTGAGGCCACTTTCTCCATTTGTCGCCAAATCAAGTAATCGACTGGGGTCCCCACTTCGGCATCCCGAGACAGATCCCAGATCCATAAGAGATTCAACCAAGGGTTTAGCCTCAGGTACCATCCAAGCACAGAACCTGACTACATACTTGAGTCTTCGCGTGCCTCTACACTCTGTTGTTTGTACAGTGTTTTCATCTAATATCTCATGTATCTCTATTAAGTATAATTCAACGGGCTTTATCCTTGTTACCTTGCTTTTTCGGTAAGCAGTCGTGAAGAAATATGTAGTTTCTTTATTCTGCTAGAGGACTCAAAGTACCACAAAATGCTTCCTGTCGGATCTGTTACTGTGACGCAGTCGACTGTAACAAACAAAGAACGTCCGTCAATGGGACGACTAGTCCATTTACTCACCAGCATACTGGAGTCTGGGCTCTAGGATATGGACACTTATCGTCGCGGAGATAAAGAGACCTAGTAAGGTATGCCGCTTTTCGAATAGATAATACTCCCCATATTAGTGCTTTATATCTTATCAAGATGGCACATAAGAACGCATTTTGTCCCACTGGGATACTTCTAGCCTGTTTAGTGTGTTCAAGTCTGGCAGTTGCCTTAATGCTTCATCCGTAGTTGTAAGGGAGCATAGATGGTTCGGAGTAACAAGGAAAGATATTCGACCAATCCTGTCATCGTACTTCGAGCAGTCCGATGAAGTCCGCATCATTTGTTAGACCTAAGACTCATAGTATCAAATCCTATCTTAGAGCTAGGACTACGTCAGTTATCGCGTTGCCTGAGTTACGAGCTATGGCCCAGGGAGGTTCAGCTCTTGTTTACCTTTTCCGAACTTCGATGATCTCCATGCTAGCCGCATTCGGAAGGGGTGGAGTTTTGGCGCGCGGCTGGACTCACGTGGGTGGAGGCGGATGGCCATAATTGGTCCAGGCCGAAAGCATCGCAAGCGACTTTCCCAGCCCCCCCCGATGTGCGAAACTCCCGCTTGCGACATCCCGTCCTTAAGGCATCAAATCGCCCGCACGCCGCGATCCTTGCGTCTAACATCACACATACAATATTGCCTTACCTCTTCCCAGTCCTTGAGACCCCTTGCTCCTATATCATTCTACAAAAGATCTATCAATTATTCCTATCGGACTTCGTCCACGGGTGTTATCATCCATACTTGATTGGAACGTGCTTCTACGGCGCTATCAGTGATAAGACCAATACTCATCGCCGGGGACCGGAGTGAGCGTACAATTGTGTCCCTGCCAGCACCTTCGACAGCTGTCGCCGCTACTTAGACATTCATACACTGTCATTCAAACCCAAGTACACTATCTATTGCAACCGACCCGACGCACCAGCCGGGTGTTGACGTGCCA